CCAATATTTCATCAAAATTTTCAAACTAAATTTCAGACCGATTCTACCACAAAATTTTATGTTATCTCAAAATTTCCTCTACATTGGGGGTTCTTGTCTTGAATATTGAAAAATTTTGCTAGCCAAGACTAAAACCTCACAAATTGGAAAAATCTTGATGTGAAATGATATTTCGGGGGATATTTGGTTCAAAATGTCCGTGCTGAAATTTTTGTGAAATATTGGACCTAGCTCAATTCTGAAACCATTTTCGGATTCAGCTTAGATTATAGTCTTAAATAACAAATTTAGGTGTCCCTCGGACTTAAGATCCCAAAATAATAATACAAATTGTTCGAATTAAAAAAATTTCGGGAATTTTGATGAAGCAATGGACCTAGGTCCATTCTGAGTCCATTTTCGGATTCAGCGTGCGAATTTACCAGAAAGGTGACTTTCCAGCCAGATTCGGTCAGTAGTTTTCGAGTTTGAAGCAAACAAAAAAATAAATTTTAAATTTTGTTGCAAAATGGGTCCTAGGTCCAACATGCATCAAAATTTCTGATATTTTTTTAATTTTGCTTCAAACTCGGAAACTACTGGCCGAATCTGGCTGGAAAGTCACCTTTCTGGTAAAATCCCATGCTGAATCCAAAAATGAAGTCAGAATGGACCTGGGACCAATATTTCATCAAAATTCCCGAAAATTTTTTATTTTGAGCAATTTGTAGTATTATATCGGGGTCTTAAGGCCTAGAGCTGCTAAATTTTGACATGCCAGATTACTGCTTAAGTTGAACCCGAAAATGAACTCATAGTGGACCTGAGACCAATATTTCATCAAAATTTTCAAACTAAATTTCAGACCGATTCTACCACAAAATTTTATGTTATCTCAAAATTTCCTCTACATTGGGGGTTCTTGTCTTGAATATTGAAAAATTTTGCTAGCCAAGACAAAAACCTCACAAATTGGAAAAATCTTGATGTGAAATGAAATTTCGGGGGATATTTGGTTCAAAATGTCCGTGCTGAAATTTTTGTGAAATATTGGACCTAGCTCAATTCTGAAACCATTTTCGGATTCAGCAGAGATTATGGTCTTAAATAACAAATTTAGGTGTCCCTCGGACTTATGATCCCAAAATAATAATACAAATTGTTCGAATTAAAAAAATTTCGGGAATTTTGATGAAGCAATGGACCTAGGTCCATTCTGAGTCCATTTTCGGATTCAGCGTGCGAATTTACCAGAAAGGTGACTTTCCAGCCAGATTCGGCCAGTAGTTTTCGAGTTTGAAGCAAACAAAAAAATAAATTTTAAATTTTGTTGCAAAATGGGTCCTAGGTCCAACATGCATCAAAATTTCTGATATTTTTTTAATTTTGCTTCAAACTCGGAAACTACTGGCCGAATCTGGCTGGAAAGTCACCTTTCTGGTAAAATCCCATGCTGAATCCAAAAATGAAGTCAGAATGGACCTGGGACCAATATTTCATCAAAATTCCCGAAAATTTTTTATTTTGAGCAATTTGTAGTATTATATCGGGGTCTTAAGGCCTAGAGCTGCTAAATTTTGACATGCCAGATTACTGCTTAAGTTGAACCCGAAAATGAACTCATAATGGACCTGAGACCAATATTTCATCAAAATTTTCAAACTAAATTTCAGACCGATTCTACCACAAAATTTTATGTTATCTCAAAATTTCCTCTACATTGGGGGTTCTTGTCTTGAATATTGAAAAATTTTGCTAGCCAAGACAAGAACCCCACAAATTGGAAAAATCTGGATGTAAAATGAAATTTCGGGGGATAATTGGTTCAAAATTTTTATGCTGAAATGTTTATGAATTATTGGACCTAGCTCAATTCTGAAACCATTTTCGGATTCAGCAGAGATTATGGTCTTAAATAACAAATTTAGGTGTCCCTCGGACTTATGATCCCAAAATAATAATACAAATTGTTCGAATTAAAAAAATTTCGGGAATTTTGATGAAGCAATGGACCTAGGTCCATTCTGAGTCCATTTTCGGATTCAGCGTGCGAATTTACCAGAAAGGTGACTTTCCAGCCAGATTCGGTCAGTAGTTTTCGAGTTTGAAGCAAACAAAAAAATAAATTTTAAATTTTGTTGCAAAATGGGTCCTAGGTCCAACATGCATCAAAATTTCTGATATTTTTTTAATTTTGCTTCAAACTCGGAAACTACTGGCCGAATCTGGCTGGAAAGTCACCTTTCTGGTAAAATCCCATGCTGAATCCAAAAATGAAGTCAGAATGGACCTGGGACCAATATTTCATCAAAATTCCCGAAAATTTTTTATTTTGAGCAATTTGTAGTATTATATCGGGGTCTTAAGGCCTAGAGCTGCTAAATTTTGACATGCCAGATTACTGCTTAAGTTGAACCCGAAAATGAACTCATAGTGGACCTGAGACCAATATTTCATCAAAATTTTCAAACTAAATTTCAGACCGATTCTACCACAAAATTTTATGTTATCTCAAAATTTCCTCTACATTGGGGGTTCTTGTCTTGAATATTGAAAAATTTTGCTAGCCAAGACAAAAACCTCACAAATTGGAAAAATCTTGATGTGAAATGAAATTTCGGGGGATATTTGGTTCAAAATGTCCGTGCTGAAATTTTTGTGAAATATTGGACCTAGCGCAATTCTGAAACCATTTTCAGATTCAGCATAGATTATAGTCTTAAATAACAAATTTAGGTGTCCCTCGGACTTAAGATCCCAAAATAATAATACAAATTGTTCGAATTAAAAAAATTTCGGGAATTTTGATGAAGGAATGGACCTAGGTCCATTCTGAGTCCATTTTCGGATTCAGCGTGCGAATTTACCAGAAAGGTGACTTTCCAGCCAGATTCGGCCAGTAGTTTTCGAGTTTGAAGCAAACAAAAAAATAAATTTTAAATTTTTTTGCAAAATGGGTCCTAGGTCCAACATGCATCAAAATTTCAGATATTTTTTTAATTTTGCTTCAAACTCGGAAACTACTGGCCGAATCTGGCTGGAAAGTCACCTTTCTGGTAAAATCCCATGCTGAATCCAAAAATGAAGTCAGAATGGACCTGGGACCAATATTTCATCAAAATTCCCGAAAATTTTTTATTTTGAGCAATTTGTGGTATTTTATCGGGGTCTTGAGGCCTAGAGCTGCAAAATTTTGTCTTGTCAGATTAGTGCTTAAGCTGAACCAGAAAATGATCTCATAGTGGACCTGAGACCTATATTTCATCAAAATTTTCAAACAAAATTTCAGACCTGTACAGTTGAGGGTTCTTGTCTTTAGAAAAAACTAGAACTGAAGAGAATTGTTCCAAAACTGAAGTGGAATTGTTTTAGATCTTGAACTGAATAAAAGACTAAACATTTTTGTTTATTTGTTTTTCTTTATTTCAGATTTTTCTTATTTTATCTTAAGTATAAATTTTTATTGGCTTTATACGTCTGCTGGTGATCCCCCCATAAAGATAGATGCTGCCTCACCATCATCAGCCACAATGATAAAAATAATCCAGTCTTTAAAGAACCAAGAACTAAAAATGGTAAGAAATAAAATGAATGAAATTTTTCTTAAAAAAAAATAATTTTATAATACATTAATTACCTTTTCTTTTATAAAGGCATTTCTGTAACCAGACGGCTCAGGGCAAACCTTATACTGGCAGACGCAATGGCTCGAGCAGTATGGTATCTATGAGCACAATGGTACCTAGTGTTTCCAATGCATCAACTGTAGAATCTGTTACAAGCTCACTTTTACGAACTAGTTTAAGAAAGCCTTGACCAAGACCAGAAAACGCCTTGGGTATACAAATTTCCGGCTACTTGGGGTCAGGTAACTCACCAAACATGCAACGTCATGGTAGCGTTAAGAAAGCCCTGCATACATACACCATGGATGTTTAGAGGAGGGGGCTGTAGGGAAAAGGATATATTAATTTTATTTTCAATAACAATTTAAATTAATAATACATTTTTAACTATTTATAAGTTAATTTATTTATAAACAATTGCTAATAATTATTTATGTACAATTAATAATCATTATTAATAAAAACCTTTAAAAAATCCTTTAATTTAAGCCTACATTCATTAATTTCTTTTAATTTTCATATCAAACACTCCAATATGCACTGACATATCTACATTTACCCTTAACAAAACGAATGACGTCATCAAAAATAATTTTGCAAAAACGCTGCGGCCGAAAAATCGCTCTAAAATGAAATCTTAATACCAGGCTCCCATAATGTGAGAAATTGCAGCAGGGATCATTTTGGAAATTTTTACAAAAATTTTCCAACACATATTTTAGGGAGCTAAAAAGTATTTGAGTCGGCTTGTTAATAGAACTTTAAAACAAAAACTGTTGCCTTCCCTTAAGCGCCTAATAGAAAGCAAAGACACAAACCTTAGTAAAAAGTGAACAGTGGTTGGTTTTTTACAAAATTCTCAGAACTTTCGAAAAAAAATCGATTGGATCCAAAAATGGACCCGATTTTCGGATTCAGCGGGTGACCAAAACGCGTAATAGGTTTTTTCGGCTCGTTTTGAGCCGTATTTTAGGAGATAAACGTAAAAAACATGAATTTTTCAGATTTTGTATGAAAACAAATGTTTGCATTTTTGGCCAAAAAACATGGTGGACATGTTGGTAAGTCAGTTGCTAAAGCGGAAGTGACGTTTGCCCCCAAAAAATCTTGCAAAAATAAGTTTTCATACAAAATCTCAAAAATTCATGTTTTTTGCATTTATCTCCGTAAATACGGCTCAAAACGAGCCGAAAAAACCTATTACGCGTTTTGGTCACCCGCTGAATCCGAAAATCGGGTCCATTTTTGGATCCGATCGATTTTTTTTCGAAAGTCCCGAGAATTTTGTAAAAAATGTACCACTGTTCACTTTTTAACAAAGGTTTGAGACTCGGCTAAATTTTTTCTTGCGCCCAACTGACGGCAACACATTTTGATTTAATTAAAAGTCATCGGTTTACACATGTTTATTTTGATTTTATTGAATACAAATTGATTTAAAATAAACTTATTGAGCATATTTCAAATGTTTCTTTTCGTTCTATGACTTGTTTTGTATTTCCTGGTTATAATCCTTTGTTCCGAATTCTTCTGAATTTTCTTTTAATGATTGCATTTAATGGAATACAGGCCACCACAGGAATTTCTGTAAATAAACAAATAAAAATTGTTATTAAGACATTTAAGTATATTTAAGTTTAATTTAATTCATATTCAAAAATATTCCTTTCAACTATTAAAAGACACAAGGCAACTCTTCAACACTCTTAAAACAAAAGCTGAAATTAAACACTTTAACTACTTTTGGACACATAGTTAGAAATTTTACCTCTACAAAAAAAAAAAAAAAAAACACAAATAATAAAAATTACATTCATTTTTGTTCTCCTTTTCTGAGTATACTAATTACCACAACATGTGCATAAATCCTGTGTATTGTATTCCAACATAATAATAACAACTACAATAACCCACCAATAACAACACTAAACAAATTGCCATAAGTTGATAACAAAAAAGTTACCTCCAACCAACCAACCGACTAACTCTATTCACGGTGTCTTGCTGTAAACAATGTAATAAAACACAACAACAACGACGGCTATGTCAGTTACGCAAATTTACTTTAACATCCGTTTTGCATATTGTGAGAATATTTAATGTTCATGCTGCTTTGACTCTGCTCAAGTCACTCATACATACAGATTTCTGGCACAATGACCAATTTTTATTTGGCTTGATATGTCCTACTTTTTGTTGTTGTTGTTTAGTTGAATATGAATATTTAGGGCCGTGGGTTAAATTGTTGGTTAAGGCAATAAGAAAATTCTTTTGCAGGATTCTATTGCAATTTTCTAAAAATCTATAGAAAAAGTGATCTATAGTCAAGGCTATAGACTGATCTATAGTCAAGACTATACACTGACCTATAGTCAAGACTAAAGACTGAACTATAGTCAAGACTATAGACGATCTTTCTATTGTGAAGACTAAAGTTTGAACTATAGTCAAGACTATAGATTGATCTATAGTCAAGACTAAAGACTGAACTATAGTCAAGACTATAGGCTGATCAATAGTCAAGACTATAGACTGATCCATAGTCAAGACTATAGACTAATCTATAGTCAATACTATAGACTGAAATATAATCAAGACTATAAACTAATTTATAATTAATACTAAAAACTGATCTATAATCAAGACTATAAACTGATCTATAGTCAATACTATTGACTGATCTATACTCAAGACTATAGACTGATCTATAATCAAGACTATAAACTGATTTATAATTAAGACTATAAACTGATCTATAATCAAGACTATAGACTGATCTATAGTCAAGACTATAGACTGATCTATAATCAAGACTATAAACTCATATATAACCAAGACTATAAACTGATCTATGGTTAATGACATAGACTGATCTATAGTCAAGACTATAGACTGATCTATAGTCAAGACTATACATTGATCTATAGCCAAGACTATAGACTGATCTATAGTCAAGACTATAGACTGATCTATAGTCAAGACTAAAGACCGATCTATAGTCAAGACTATAGACTGATCTATAGTCAAGACTATAGACTGATCTATAGTCAATTATAGATTGATCTATAGTCAAGACTATAGATTGATCTGTAGTCAAGACTATAGATCGATCTATAGTCAAGACTATAGACTGATCTATAGTCAAGACTATAGACTGATCTATTGTCAAGACTATAGACTGATCTAAGGTCAAGACTATAGACTGATCTATAGTCAAGACTATAGACTGATCTATAGTCAAGACTATAGACTGATCTATAGTCAGACTATAAACTGATCTAAAGACAATACTATAGGCTGATCAATAGTCAAGTCTATAGACTGATCCATAGTCAAGACTATAGACTAATCTATAGTCAATACTATAGACTGAAATATAATCAAGACTATAAACTAATTTATAATTAATACCAAAAACTGATCTATAGTCAAGACTATAGATTGATCTATAGTCAAGACTATAGACTGATCTATAGTCAAGACTATAGACTGATCTATAGTCAAGACTATAGACTGATCTATAGTCAAGACTATAGACTGATCTATAGTCAAGACTATAGACTAATGTATAGTCAAGACTATAGACTGATCTATAGTCAAGACTATAGATTGATCTATAGTCAAGACTATAGATTGAGTCCAGACTATAGTCTGTCTGTTTCATTCATTTGTTTGAGTTTTTCCTTTTTTTAATAAAAACCGAAATACACTTGCCTTTAGCCAATGATCATGTTCTGTACGTGATAAAAATACATAAAAGAAAAGCATATTTTTCAGGCATATTTTCTTATTCTCCATCACCAACACGCCACACAATGTTTAAACTGTGTGCAACAATGCTGCACACATAAATACACTGTTATTGTTGCATACATATATTCATTTGTTTGTGTGTCGCTGCCTGTAGCAGAGAAAATGAATGCATACGTTCCATTATTGTTGTTGTTGCTGTTGTATTAGTAGCTTATGATGACGCGTCTTTATTTTGTTGTTGTGATAATTACAAAATTGTATGAGAAAAGTTTACATACAGAGAAAAAAAAAAAGAAACGTTTTGTATATAAAAAATAATTAGCTTGAGAGGAATTTCCGTTTCCAGGCATTTTTGTTGACAGAGCGTCGTCATTTTAGTTGCAAAATTTCTAAAGGCTGTTTTAGTAGGTGTTTAGTTGCTGATTTGCTTATTAACAAACATATAAAATGGTTTTAAATTAACTGAAAACCATAAAACCACAAAAGAATTTTGTTTGAGGGTTTTTAAAAAGAATCCTAAATAAATACACAACTTCCAAGAAATTAAGTTTACTTTTGGAAAGTTTTGTAGCCTTTGCTTATAAAGTTTACATTCTGTTGAAAATTTCTTTTTAAAACAACAAGCTACATAAAATTAACACAAATTGTTTAAAACAACAACTGAAAATTACACGGTCAGCGTTTATTTAAGGCAATTAACATTTTACTCGGGAAACATTTTTAAAACACAACGCCAATAAAAAAGGAACAAGGTGGCGGGTAAAGCATCATTACAACAGTTGTGGTTGTTATACAATCTCAGCTCAAAAGGTATTTAGCTTAAATATTTGGAAAATGTACAAATAACGGAACAACTACTGTGTTGTTGTTGTTTCTTTTAACTATGTCGCGTGTTTTGGAAAATGATTTTTCTTTTATTAGCTTTAATTTGTGTCGAGGAAATTGCAGCTGCAATTAGGCCACTGCCAATAAACACAATATTGCAAAGAAAAAATGACCACAAAAATTACCAACAATTTCCAGTAATTTGAAAAGTATACGGTACAGTTTTTTGTCGTTGTTGTTGCTGTTTAGAAATGTTAATAACTACCATTATGGTCTATTTAACCTTATAACAGCTAATGAATCACAATATTTATTGATTGATTGTACACTATAGATTTTGCAAAAGGTAACCAATTAAATGACCCATTCTTTACAACATTCACACAAACATCCGTTAATTGAAATTTATTTTGAAAACTAATTATTTTGAATTTTGTAAATATCTAGAAAACATTGGGGAGATCAATATACAACAGTACTTACAAGACTTGAAGAATGTATGGACATTATATACTCTAGACTATTTTCATGTTTAGAATTAGGACTCTAATCCAGTCAGTCCAGAGATTAGACTACAGTCTAATCAATAGTCTGTACTATAGTCTAGTCTATAGACACGTCTCTAGACTGGACTATAGTCTGGTCTATAGACACGTCTCTAGACTGGACTATAGTCTGGTCTATAGTTTGGACTATAGTCTAGTCTATAGTTTGGACTATAGTCTAGTCTATAGTTTGGACTATAGTCTAGTCTATAGTTTGGACTATAGTCTAGTCTATAATTTGGACTATAGTCTAGTCTATAGTTTGGACTATAGTCTAGTCTATTATTTGGACTATAGTCTAGTCAATAGTTTGGACTATAGTCTAGTCTATAGTTTGGACTGTAGTCTAGTCTATAGTTTGGACTATAGTCTAGTCTATAGTTTGGACTATAGTCTAGTCTATAGTTTAGACTACAGTCTAGTCTATAGTTTGGACTATAGTCTAGTCTATAGTTTGGACTATAGTCTAGTCTATAGTTTGGACTATAGTTTAGTCTATAGTCTAGTCTATAGTCTAGTCTACAGTCTAGTCTATAGTCTAGTCTATAGTCTAGTCTATAGTCTAGTCTATAGTCTAGTCTACAGTCTAGTCTATAGTCTAGTCTTTAGCCTAGTCTATAGTCTAGTCTTTAGCCTAGTCTAAAGTCTAGTCTTTAGCCTAGTCTAAAGTCTAGTCTATAGTCTAGTCTATAGTCTAGTCTATAGTCTAGTCTATAGTCTAGTCTATAGTCTAGTCTATAGTTAGTCTATAGTCTAGTTATAGTAGTCTATAGTCTAGTACAGTCTAGTATATAGTCTAGTCTATAGTCTAGTCTAGTCTATAGTCTAGTCTATAGTCTAGTCTATAGTCTAGTCTATAGTCTAGTCTATAGTCTAGTCTATAGTCTAGTCTAGTCTAGTCTATAGTCTAGTCTATAGTCTAGTCTATAGTCTAGTCTATAGTCGAGGCTATCTAATCTAGTCTAGTCTATAGTCTAGTCCTATAGTCTAGTCTAGTCTATAGTCTAGTCTATCGTCTAGTCCCTATAGTCATTCTATAGTCGAGTCCTATAGTCCAGTATAGTCTAGTCTATAGTCTAGTCTATATTCTAGTCTATAAGTCTAGTCTATAGTCCTAGTCTATTAGTCTAGTCTAAGTCTATCTTAGTCTAGTCTAAGTCTAGTCCCTAATAGTCCTAGTCTATATCTAGTTTAGTCTAGTTTATAGTCTATCTATATATAGTCTATAGTCTAGTCTATAGTCTAGTCGATCGTCTTAGTCTATTGTCTAGTCTAGTCTAGTCTATTGTCTAGTCTTGTCTAGTCTAGTCCTATAGTCCTAGTCTATCTAATAGTCTAGTCTAGTCTAGTCTCGTCTAGTCTACTAGTCTAGTCTAGTCTAGTCTATAGTCTAGCCTAGTCTAGTCTAGTCTAGTCTAGTCTAGTCTAGTCTAGTCTAGTCTAGTCTAGTCTAGTCTAGTCT